GACTCCTGTTGCGTATTTTAGTTTGAGAGCCGTTCAGGTCAGATTCATGTTTTATCCCTAAGGGTAATAGTTTGGCTTTAGTCGCGACATCTAGTTTAAGGACCTATCGGTCCCACGATTTTGTTTTGTTTATGGAGAGATTGGCGCTCGTGCCGGTAGGCACATGCAGTATTGTACGGGAGATCGTCGCGGCAGGACGCATAATAAAGATTTTAGTTATCTCAAACAACGAGTTATTCTATTATGATAGAAATAGCGTTCACATACGCAAGCGACACAGGCGCATAAGTATACGCACAAAACCACATTAGTGCGGGTACTAAACAACATTGGTCCTTCGAGCCGGATATGATGGAAAGCTGCCGCGAAAACGATCTCTCACACGTCGTATGCATGGCCATGGCCACAAGGCGTGTTGAAACGTAAGTTCGAGTGATACAACAGCGCACTCAGCAGTACTCTATACGTCGGATACTTCCTTCTTGGGCGTAACCCGGTGGGATAGACGATACTACAAGGGAAGGTGACACTGCGTACGGCAGTCACATTGCCATCGCAGACTTGGATACGGCGCATCGCAGATTGGGCGAACTGCACCGTAATACAACGCAAAACTGCGTACGGCAGCCACATTGCCATCGCAGACTTGGATACGGCGCATCGCAGATTGGGCGAAACGCACCGTAATACATCGCAGAATTGGTGAACGGCGCATCGCGGATTGGGCGAACTGCACCGTAATACATCGCAGAATTGGTGAACGGCGCATCGCAGATTGGGCGAACTGCACCGTAATACATCGCAGACTTGGTGAACGGCGCATCGCAGTTTGACGAACAGCACCGTGATACATTGCAGAGTTGGAAACCAGCGCAACAAACAACGTAACATTACACTAATCTATCCTTGCTTCGAAAATTCAAATATCGTATGTATCAAGACATTATTAGTTATTTGTCATCAAGCGCATGTTTGGTATAAATTTCGACATTGATCGTTGCGTAACATAAGACATCGAAATGGATCTAACCGAAAACGAAGCTAAAACAAGGCGAACAACCATAAAGGCTGCGGCTACGCGACTTAAAACATATATAGAATCTGCACAAGCACAACGTGCTACGCAATTTGACTTGGTTGAACGTAAAAAGAAACTAGCGACTTTATTTGTGCAATACGATGAAGTTCAAGCGCGAATCGAATGTTTAAACTCTGATGCTAACGAAGCTATAGCGGCGACTCATGCAGAGGATCGTACACGATTCGAGGAAGCATACTTTCAGCTTATGTCGATATACGATCAGCGTATTCACTCGATTGAACAAACACGCGTAGCATCTCAGACCAGTATTGATAATCAGACAGCACATCAAAATAATTCAGAGTCAGCGCATATCCGACTACCAAAAATTCAATTACCCATTTTCTCCGGATCATATGAAGAGTGGTATACATTTCATGATTCTTTTGAAAAACTTATTCATTCTAATGCAAATTTATCGTCTATTCAAAAATTCCACTACCTAAGATCATCATTGAAGGATAAAGCTGCGGAGGTTGTACGATCCTTTGACATAACGACAGATAATTACACAGAAGCATGGCAATTGCTGAATGAGCGATTCGATAACAAGAGGCGTATAGTTCAAACTCACATTAAGGCAATATTCGAAATTCCACCTATAAACAAAGAAAATTGTACAGCGTTGCGTAGTTTAATCGATAATGTACTTAAACATTTTAGGGCACTCAAGGCATTGCAGAGACCCGTTGATACTTGGGACGATATAATGATACACTTAGTATTAACCAAACTCGATTCTGTTACAGTGAAGGAATGGGAAACAAGTCGCGCAGATTCGACTATACCTACATTCAAACAATTGACTGATTTCCTATCAAAACGTTGTCAAGCTCTGGAAATCATTTCCGGCAAATCAGGTGGACGTACAAGTTCGGATGTGCACAATTCACAGAAGGCCAAGAATCCTAGCGCGCATGTAACTACCTCAAATATATCATGTATCCATTGCAAGAGTAAGCATTTTATATTCCAGTGTGAATCATTTCGTAAACTCCCGGTTGAAAAACGTTTTGAGATCGTAAAAAATGCTCACTTTTGTATCAATTGTTTAAGATCGGGAGGGCATCAAGCTAAAAACTGCACAGCTAGTACTTGTCGTAAATGTGGAAAGCCACATAACACATTATTGCATTTTGAAACCTCAAAAGATGAAGGGGTAAAAACAGGCACGCCTTCGAACACTAGTAATTCTGCTTGCAGCGTAACAGGGGCATCTTCAACAAATACCGCGGCTCCCATAGTAACACAATGCACTCAGATTAATGATGCTTCCAAGGTTTTTCTCTCAACCGCCATAGTCAGCGTATATGATCATAAGGGAGAGTTACATGGTTGCAGAGTTTTACTTGATAGTGGTTCTCAATTAAACTTCATTACTGAAGATTTCGCAAATCGATTGCATCTTAATAGTCGTGAATTACACATGTCTATTTCAGGTGTGGCAAAAGGAACAATTGAAACAAAGAGGATAGTTGATGTTAGTTTCCGATCGCGAACAAACGCATATGTCGACAGCATTGAATGTATAGTTCTGCCTAAGATTACCCAGAAGTTGCCGCAGGAATTTTGTTCAATATCAGAATTTACAATTCCATCGAATATAGTACTCGCAGATCCTAATTTCAATATCCCAAGCGAAATTGACATACTCATAGGAGCTCAATTATTCTGGAGGCTCATTTGCGTAGGACAAATTAGGGCCTGCAAAGCGCATCCTACTCTACAAAAAACTAAGCTAGGATGGGTGATTTCCGGCAAGACTGATGGATCTTCAGATAAGAAAATAGAGGCAGTGTGTCATCTTAGTGCAATCAATAGGCTAAACGAGGCTATTGTGAAGTTTTGGGAAATTGAGCACGATACTTCTTCCAACAAAATGTCTCATTATAATCCAAATGAGCAAATTTGTGAATCGCATTTTAATCAGAATGTTCGTCGTGACGCCGAAGGTCGTTTCATAGTCAAATTACCTACAATTGATAAAAAATTACAGCAGTTAGGAGATTCAAGGGAAATCGCAAAACGTCGTTTTCTTAATTTAGAAAAGCGTTTATCAACGCAGCCATTGGTGTATTCACAGTATAAAGAGTTCATGCAAGAATATGTTAATTTGAATCACATGTGTGAAGTCGATGATCGCGACGCGAATAACGAAAGGGCATATTATTTGCCGCATCATGCGGTTTTTAAAGAAAACAGCATCACAACCAAATTGAGAGTGGTGTTTGATGCATCGTGTAAGACGGCATCCGGACTGTCATTGAACGATGCACTTTTGGTTGGTCCCACTATACAGGAGGATTTGTTCTCTATTTTAGTACGATTTCGCACGTTTCGATACGCCATGACGGCTGACATTACTAAAATGTATAGACAGATTCTCATCGACCAGTCCCAGAGATCTTTGCAACGTATTTTTTGGCGTAACTCATCACAAGATGAACTAAAAACGTTTGAGCTTCTTACACTTACATATGGTACAGCGTCAGCCTCCTTCTTGGCTATTAGATCAATACAGAAACTCGCGGAGTACGAAGCGGAATCATTTCTCATTGGATCGAAATTAGTATTACGCGATTTTTATGTGGATGACCTGCTTACAGGTGCATCTACATTACAAGAAGCATTAGAGATCAAGAAACAAACTATTCAATTGCTAAGGAAAGGCGGATTTGAATTAACAAAGTGGTCGTCTAATCATTCTTCCATTCAAGGCATTGAAGGTTCTACAAAAAAGGAATTTAATTTGGGCAACGAAACCAGAGCTCTTGGTGTAGTCTGGAATTGTGAATCAGATGTATTCAAGTTCATAAGTATAGGACAACATCCACCACTGGATAGGCTTACCAAACGTAGTATATTGTCTAGGATAGCTTTAATGTTCGATCCTTTAGGATTATTGGGACCATCCATTATAATTGCTAAACTTCTAATGCAACAATTATGGCGGGAGAAAATTGATTGGGACGAAACTATAGCTGGTGAACTACATACACTTTGGAGAGAATATGAATTCAGGTTACAATTTCTTGGTGATATTCAGGTAGCACGAAAGGTGATTACTTTCAGTGAAAAACGAAAGGTGGAAATTCATGGTTTCTCAGACGCTAGTCAACAAGCATACGGAGCATGCATTTACGTTCGATCCACTTACACGAATGGGCAATCTGAATGTCATTTGCTATGTTCTAAGTCAAGAATCGCACCTCTTAAAACATTATCTATTCCTCGACTCGAGCTTTGTGGAGCTTTATTACTGGCACAACTTACCAACAAGGTATTAAGTGCTTTACCTTTAACGATAGACTCTATTCATTATTGGACCGATTCACGTATCGTATTGTGTTGGTTGCGATCATGCAGCCGTCAGTGGACACCGTTTGTAGCGAATCGTGTAGCTGAAATACAGCGACTCACAAATATTGACAGTTGGAGACATGTGTCTAGTCAGGATAATGCTGCCGACCCGCTTTCCAGAGGTATCATGCCCAACTTATTATCCGAGCTAGATCTGTGGTGGCACGGGCCAGTTTGGTTAAAATGCGATGATGATGAATGGCCTTCTGAGAATTTCCACACGTCAAATGTAGAGGTGCCGGAAATGAGACTAACAGCAATGGTAATTGAGATGGGCAATAAACCATCTCACGATATATTTAATCGATTCTCTAAGCTTTCTCGATTGATACGCGTTATCGCTTTCTGTCATAGATTCATAGCGAATTGTAAAAGAAGAAAAACAATTTCACATAGAGAGGAAGAGGTTGATAAGGTTCAGCCCTTGTCTATGAAAGAATTAGAACGGTCAAGGGTATCATTAGTAAAAATGATCCAACATGATTTCTTTAAAACAGAGCTGCATTCGCTCAGAAGTCATGGTTACGTAGCAAAAAGTAGCAACATCCTAAATCTAAATCCATTTATTGATGCACATGGCATCTTAAGAGTCGGTGGTCGCTTGAGACACGCTATTGTTTCCTATGACCATAAGCATCCCGTTTTATTGCCGGGTAAACATGTGTTCACACGATTGATTATTATAGACGAACACGAACGTCAATTGCACGCCGGAGCCCAAGCCACATTGTCGGCAATCCGTCAAAATTACTGGCCGACGTCGGCTCGAAGTGTAATTCGTAGCGTAATAAAGAGATGTACGACGTGCATGCGTAACACACCAAAGTTAGGCGCAACTTTGATGGCGGATTTACCCGAAACACGAGTAAATATAGCAAAGTATGTATTTCAAAAATGCGGCGTCGATTATGCGGGACCACTATGGTATAAGGAAGGGCAGCGAAAAAATGCGAAATCAATCAAATGTTATATGGTTTTATTTGTTTGTTTAGCTACTAAAGCCGTACATATAGAATTGGCATCAGATATTTCAGCGGAAGAATTTGTAAATGTACTCAAGCGATTTATTTCTCGAAGAGGACGTCCCACGGATATGTATTCGGACAACGGTTTAAATTTCATCGGAGCTAACCGTGAACTTAATGAATTGTACGACTTATTCAATAATGAGGTTGTTAAGCAAAAAATTGTTAATTTCGCGACATCCGAAAGGATGAATTGGCATTTTATTCCGCCTAGGTCTCCACACATGGGTGGTTTATGGGAGGCCGCCATTAAAAGTGCTAAATTTCACTTGAAACGCATCGTCGGTGAGGCTTCGCTAAAATATCAAGAATTAAACACAGTACTGATACAGATTGAAGCGGTATTAAATTCGAGGCCACTTACACCTTTATCAAACGACCCTAATGACTTCAATGCACTCACACCAGCACATTTTCTAATCGGATGTCCAATTACAACGTATCCAGAACCTAGCCTTAAGGAATTGCAAACCAACAGGCTATCTCGGTGGCAGCGAGTGGAACAACTACGGCAACATTTTTGGCAGCGTTGGGTAAAGGAATATCTTCACAACTGTCAATCTCGGGTTAAATGGAATGAAAAAACTGATCCTATCGAGGTGGGACAAATGGTGATATTAAAGGAAGATAATTTACCACCCTTGTGTTGGAGTCTAGGTCGAATCGAGCAAGTCTATCCGGGAAAGGATAATATTATTCGCGTTGTTTCTGTGCGAACTTCTAAAGGAGTATACAAACGACCTATTACCAAGGTATCCGTTCTGCCTATTGAACAATAGTTATAAGTTGCGTATTTACCATAAATAAGCGTATAATCAATCATATTTCATTATCTCTAAGCGTGTTGCATATTTAGTTTATTGAAAGGCGAGGCTTTCAAGGGCGGCGGTATGTTGCGTATTTTAGTTTGAGAGCCGTTCAGGTCAGATTCATGTTTTATCCCTAAGGGTAATAGTTTGGCTTTAGTCGCGACATCTAGTTTAAGGACCTATCGGTCCCACGATTTTGTTTTGTTTATGGAGAGATTGGCGCTCGTGCCGGTAGGCACATGCAGTATTGTACGGGAGATCGTCGCGGCAGGACGCATAATAAAGATTTTAGTTATCTCAAACAACGAGTTATTCTATTATGATAGAAATAGCGTTCACATACGCAAGCGACACAGGCGCATAAGTATACGCACAAAACCACATTAGTGCGGGTACTAAACAACAACTCCGTTGTGTCTTGCTTTCAAGATCTTTTATAAATTCGTGTATCGCAAACCTTTTATTGAATGAGTCTGGTAGGCTGAAATTTTCTCCTAATTGTAATAAGTTTGAAACATTTGTCGGAATCGTAGTGTTTGTCAAGTTTATAAACCATTTTTTGTTAGTTTTATTTAGTGGATCAGAACTATGGTCTAAATAATTGATAGGTAGAATGGTCTTATTTTGTGTGGCGTGGGCTTCACTAGTAGTGTCAAGAATATTAGTGGGAATATGTAGTGGTTTGATATTTTTTAAAGTTAGATAATTCTTTTTTCTTATCAGCCAATCAATTTTCTTTTTGTGTTTTATAGTGAGTTTGTTGTAACAGTTATTGTAAGAAATCAAGTGATGTCTCATGATGCTGTTAATTATATGTGAAGGTAACGTGTTTTGGATGTGGTTAAAATAATAATGTGTAAGGCTTTTATAATGGTATACTGATCTGTGTGTGTCAAATATTTCCAATTTTAGGAGGTCTTTCTTCAACCTATGCTGGACACCCTCAAGCTTGTGCCATGATTTAAAATGATAGAATTGAAGATTAATGTTTGTAATGTTGTCAAGGTGCGTCGGGAAGATAAAGTTCGCCTTACATTGTTTGAGGAATTTTAACCTTGACACGGCGTTTATAAGTTTATAATTCGCATCGATCCAATATTTCATGTGTAATGAAGTGTCATTTCCGTAAAAATGTGATATGAATTGGAAATTATATTTGTGATGAGAATACGGAACGTTCATACAACGCATTTTAAGGCCAGCGTAAGTTAAACTAAGATTAAGTGAAAGCTCGTCTTATTTATAAAAAAGAGTAAAGGAACTTTACGCGTCACGTGGAAAGTTTCTGACACCATATACAATTCAAAGAATGTATAAGTGTCTTTGAGTAATAGTTTTCGAGAAAAATGATGGAGTCTAAATCTTGTATCTTTTTAACGAATCAGTTGCAAGTGTCTTTAGCACGGCGCGCTGCGCGCGCCCCACCCCCTCCCCCTCCCCAGCCCTCCGTTTTGTGTATAATTTTTATGTGTGTATAAGAGAGGAAGCAGGTGGGACGGGGGTGGAGGTGGGGACAGGGGGGAGAGGAGGGGTGGGGAGGGGGAGGGGGTGGGCGGAGGTGGTGGTGGGATAGGGGGTGGGGCGCGCGCAGCGCGCCGTGCCAAAAACACTTGCGACTTACGTGTTTATTTTCAGCCTGTATCTCCGAAACTATTTGAGTCCGGCCCTTATATA